CAACGATGCTAAACGAAACAAATTTTGCAGCCAAAGTCACACAACATATAATTGAACACTAATTCAAACCCTACAGTTAACAACTACGGAGTACTAACTAGTGAATATGAGCCCATTTTTAAAAAGCACAAAATAATCATTAAATTATATCAAGTCATCAAAACAGAATTTCAAACACTTGATCAACTAAGAATGAAACTTTAAATTTAATTTCAAATTTCTTACAAAACTAGCAACAAATCATTCATTTCACTTGAATCCACAATTTAAATGTAATTTAACCTTTTTATTATTTTATTATAATTATTATTATTATTTTATAATTAGTAACAAAAAAATTAGGAAAATTAAAACTAAAACACAGAAAGAATTGAAATTTAGCTGCCTCAGTATCCTCCAAAGCTAATGGTAAATAAGCAAAAAGGAGAAACATACATAAAGCAACACATACAGATATAGCTTCAAGGGAACGAGTCAAATGTGATTGAAATTCCACATAAACCAGTAAATGAAGCTTCTTTACAATTCCTATAAATTAATTTTAATTTTGAATAATAATAATAACACCCCAATCAAAAACCTTAATTAACAGATCTGTAATCATCAATTTTTCGCAACAATCTGAAATTGTACAGTTATCAATAAGAACGCAATAAGATTAAAAAAAATGATAACAATGAAATAAAAATCGACAAATAATTACATACTACCATGTCGAATTCGGTTGAAATTCTGATGATGAAGATGATAAAATTAAGCGATTTAATCTTCAATACCTTAATCAATGGTCATAATTAAAGCTAATTAAAAAGCAAGATAACTAAGGCCTATTGATTAAAGTACGGAAAACAAATCGAATTCTTCAAAACAACAAAATTGCCAGGAAATTAGCTTAAATACCCTCATCAATGGCCTTAATCATTCTTTAAAATTCGATTATTAGATAATATAATGATCGATTAGATCAAATGAATAAGGACATCGATGAGAGTATTGAAGATAAGGCAATACAAAATTCGGAATTGATGAACCCTAATTAGGGATTTGGGAATTTAAAGATTGGTGAATCATAATGAGAAGGGTGGTTGAATGATTTGGGGGTAAAGAAGTGAGTTTTAAAAGATGAGGTTTTGATTTTAGGGTTTTTGGAGCAGATGTTTATATGCCGTCACGAGTCACGATGGCCTCGTGAGCCATGGGCTTAAACTGAACTTCCGGAAGTTGCATGTTTTTTCCGCATTCAATGACCAAAATGATGCGAATCGTTAAACGTTGCTCGTGTTTTACAAAACAATGAAAATATTTTACATCCGACCAAACAGAGACATAGCAGATAACACATTAAGCGTAATGTACCATAAACAGAAGTATTTATACTCGAAGTGAGTCAAATGACCTAACCAAAATTACTTGGAAACATTGTATGGAGTAGTATTTATTTTTCACTTTGGTGAATTGTACGAGTATAAAAATCCAATATGTCTCATAATATCGAATTATAAACTACGGAGTAATAACTATTGTTTAGCATTGTTTTTTGTTTTCAGTTTTCAGTTTTTTTTTAAAACAAAAAACCAAAAAAAGGAAACAAGAAAAAGGTGTTTTCACTATTCTGTTATCAGTTTTCAAAATTATTATGATTTTAATAAGTTTGACTAATTTTTTATTCATTATATAACATATATCATACACTTTTAAAATACAAAAAATTGAAAACCACAACAATGCCAAACGAGCCCTAGTTTTTTAAGTTTTGTAATAATTAAAAAAATTTAGAAATAATTCAAAAAAAACCTACCCCTCCCCACCGACCCAAGCCACCTCTCCTCCTTTCACACCGCTGCCAGTCCGGTAGTCCCTTTTCTCACCAATGTCCAGTATACCTTCTCGTTGGCGCTAGGTCCACCCCCTTTGACGTCCCTCACCCCAAAACACACCACCCAAATCCACCCAAAACGAGGCCCCCCTTCCCCGGCCACCTCAATCTGCAACCCTAAGGTCCTAAACCCAAAACCCATACCCGAATGGTCGAATCCATCTTAAATTCGTTTGAATCCTCTTCTTTTTCACTTTGAGATTTTTGTATTCATTAATTTATACCAAATAGAGTAACACAAGTATGTAAAATCAAATAATTTATAGCCCCAACGTGTAAACCCTAACATTCAGGAATGTTTATTTCCCCCAAATTATAAACCTTAAATTATCGATACCATGAAACGAACAAGGATTAGGGGTTAACTACTTGAATATTAGCTAAAATTTTTTAAACCCCATGTTATTGTACTTCCAATTTTGGCTGTTTAGTATTGGTTATGAGAGTAATATTATAGTAAAAATTTGATATAGATTTATTACAAAATTGATCCATGGAAAGGGGGAGGGGGTGGTGGAGTTGGGGGGTGTCAAGATGGATTTCGCCAGCAAGGAAGGAGTTGGCAATCGATGGGGGAGCATGGGGCTGTTGACATGGGGGGGGGGGGGGGGCTAATCGATGGCAGGAGAGGGGAAGGGGGTAGGTTTAATTTTTTTTATTTATTTTTTTACAAAAATCATTATTTATATATTTTTTTTGAGTCAATCAATACTTTATACTAAAGTAATCACCAGAATTATCCCTAAAGTATACGTGTCGAGTTCTCATTAAAAATTTCCCCGCCAAATTTTTTTTTCCTTGAAAATAATAAGTTAATTTTTTTATATATACAAATTAAACACCCCAAAAATAAAGAACAACTTTAAATATATATATTTTTTTGATAAATAAGAAAAGTGAGATAAATGATTAGAAAAGATTAAAAATATTGAACAATGTAAAGTCATAGTAAATTAGTGACTTTTTACCATTCTTATTTCTAAATTCCATTCAACTAAAATTTATTATTACAAATAGAAAATTATCAAACTAGAAAGGTTTTAATTATACATTAATATTAGAAAACCTTCTATAATCCCTTAAATCTTGCTACATTAATTTATAACCTGAATTGTTCATTTCCTATTAAAAAAGGATTATAACTCAATTTTAAATTCATAAGTTTTTTGCGAACTAATAAAATAGAGATACTATGTATTAACGTGTCTCATCTATCTTTAATAATTTGATTACGTAAACAATGTATACAAAACTTATAAACAAATACGGAGTACAAACTTAGAGTACGTAATTTATAAAAAAAATAGTAAAAAAAACCGTGAATTTTCGAGCGTTGCTCGGGCAAAGAACTAGTAGATTTATAATTTAATTTAACTATTAGCAAAAAAAAACCTAATTAGAGTCAAAATTTAACAAAAAATTAATAATTAATGTTGTGAGGAAATTGCTAGAATGAGAATTGAGAAAATGAAAAAGCCACTAATATCATAACCAAATCATCTTGAATTGGTTTAAAATTCAAAGTAGTATTTGGGCCCGACCCTGGTTCATTATATAGGGCTTGATCATTAATATACGTTTAATTTATGATTCAATTTTTGTTGCAATTAAATTTGTTATTCATATTGTTGTTCGCTAGATATAAATATTTTGTGTAAAAAAAAAATAACATAAAATATCACATAGCTTGGTGGTAAGAATGTAAGATACTCAATTTTAGAATTAGAGTTTGCGTTTTTATTACAAGTGTATGACATGCAATGAAAAGCAAATGGATGGGAGAGCCACGTGTTGTAATAAGTAACCGAGTGGATAATGTGGATTAGTGAGGAATCTACGTGGATGTTTTTCGAAACGTCTTTTAATATACGATATTAGAAACTTCCTCATTTCTTATTTCTCATCCTAGCAATTCCCTAGTTTATGGTTATCAAAGATTTTTTTTTTTTTTTTTTAAAACTATTTATCAAAGAGAAAATTGAGTAATATAGTATTATCAAAGCGAATTTCCCATTATTAGTAAGTGTAAAAATTGCTTGAATAATATTTTCTTTCTTAAAATGCACTTACAAAAAGATCCTGAAAATGCAAATACAATATAATGGATACATACATTAAAAGTGTTTTTTAAAAGTAAATTTTATGTTAGGAAAATTGTAACTTTAAATGTTTTTTCTGTCTTTCAATAACTTAATAAAAGTCCGCCTTAATCAGAAATTTGTGATCTACCTTTGTTAAAAGAGATATATTGACTGATGAAGATTTCTTTTTTGCGTAAAATACTAATGAATATTTAAGTATCAAAGTTTACAATTACCCTATAAGACCATCATCACTCATGGTATAAAAATTTATACCATCCCTCTCTCTCTCCAACTTTCTCACTCCTCCACATTATTTATACCACAATACAATATACTTTCTTCAAAAATCACCCCACACATGGTATAAAAAATTTTACCACCACACTTTCTTTCTCTCCTATATGTATTAATTATACAATTAATTTAATTATAATTATATTTTATTTTATTATTGGAAATAATAAATTAATTTTTAAAGTTAATTAAATAAAATAATCAATATAAGTAGTAAAAAGCGAATTCGAAAAAATATATAAAACTATTGATCATGAACAACGGTAATTTTTTCATAATTATTTACTTTATAATAATCAGGCCATTGTACTAAAAATTATCATATACTAGATGAAGCCCATGCGATGCACGGGTCGATCTATTTTTTTCTAAAAAATATTTTTTATATTTATGTGATTACATTTGTTATTTTATTAGTTGTACGTAATATATTATAAAAAACCTAATCTCAAAAGATAATATTTCGTATTTAATTAATGTAACCATTAAAATCTCATTGGTCAATTATGCTTATGTGACACTTGAATTATTTATTGGATATAACTATAGTTAATTTATAATCTTACGTGACACGTTAACTTATTTTAGGTGGCATAATCCTATTGTAGCGTTTTAAAAATATTAATCATATGTGGCGCTCTAATAATTTTTAAAAAATAAAAATCCTACATGGCGCTCTAAAATCTCGGGAAAAAACTCCCCTTTATATATATATATATATATATATATATATATTAGATTGGATGAATATTTACACCGTGGTATAAAAGTATACCACGGGTGTGATGCTCTAAAGTGGACTAAATTCTAAATCTACTCCTTACTATTTCTATAGAATTCATAAAAACTTGATTTGCCAACTCTATGAAACCTTACGAGTTTCCGATCTTGCGTGTGTTCACTTGCTCCAATCTAGCACAAAGGTTGTTTTCTGCCATTCAAGAGATGCAGAAGCTTTAGACCATCCACTTGACTGAAATATCCAATTCTCAACTGAGATATTTTTCAAGTAATGCCGCCAGCATTTGTTCTTGAAGAATACACAACACTCAGGATTTGCTTTTTGTTTGTCTAACTCTTCGTATATGATCTGCCAGTGATTGAAAAGAACGATAAATTCATAATGACATTCCTCTATCAATTCTAAAGGCATAATGTTCATACAAGCAGATAGATAATTTCATTTTCTGCCAATGCTTCACCATTGAGTTTGTTTTGTTCTTATGCAGTTTACAAAATTGAAACAGGACCCTAATAATTGATAATTTGATAAATTGATGATGCTATACTTCATGTCAGACTATAAAAACAAATACTTTACGGGACTTTCAGAGTCAATTATTAATACACGTAACTCTAACTGATGTAATATTCATGAAATATAGCTGAATACGCTAAGCATCTAATTTGACTAAAATTTTTATTTTTCCCAAAGCCAAAAAAATAAGAGGAAAAAAAAAAACCAACACTCAAACAACTTCATTTGTTTATACAATCATTGACAATTAAATATATTTGTCACATATAGCTGCGACCTCCAGGATTGAAGCATACTTTGTAGTATCAATTATAAGAGGGAGTATTATATCACTAATTGTACTTAAAAAAAATCTTCTGACATATTTTAATTCTAAGGAGGTTCAAAGGAGTAATGTAGAGTAAAAAAGAGTAAAATTCTATAACAAAGAATAATGGCATCAAGACACAGCATTCATATACAAGGCAAAGTTCACGCAGAGGAGCATTCTGACCTTCCACTTACTATCTCCTTTTTTTCACCTTATCTTCTATTAAAATAACTAAACAAATACCCAATTATCATCACATCTATTTATTTTAAAATTATTTATGTATAATACTTTCATTTTAAAAATAGCAATAGATAACTTAAGGCAGTCATCTGATTTCTTAATTTGACTAAGCTTTGACCTTATTTGTACACTAATCTTTCAGAAAAAAATTTATCTAATGCCAAGAGATTCATATTAATGTGTACATTCCACTTACAAAAGTTCTAGATTTAATTTGTAGTATAGTGATAGACAAACACGAATGAAAGATATGGTCTGCCTTGATCTGATCACAAATGAAATAAACATATAATTGCTTAAGTAAGCTGAAATGAACATTACAACATCTTAAACTATGCATAGTAATAAATTTACGAACTAATGAGGGTCAAAGGAAGTATTTATATAATATTTTCCTGTGTCAGTGGTTGAATTGTTACAATCAGATACAAAATTATAGGGAAGTTACAGAGTACCTCAGGAAAGTCACTGGTGTTGTGGGACATTATAGATAGAGTGGATGGAATAGGCAACGTCTTTAAAGCAGCATCAAGTAGATCCCGAAATCGAGTAGATATTCTCACTGCATGTGGCTTAGATATGTGGCGCAAAGGAAGAACCATAGCCCTGATGTCTTCATAAATGATAACACCCTAGATAAATTCATCAATGAAAGGAAAAATAAATTAACAATATAAAAACACTAGCATATGAAGAAAAATATAGACTGCCTATTAACCATCAACTCAGTTCAGAAACAAAGTTCCAATATAAAATTTTTAAGCTACCACACGAGAACAACCTGATACACAGTTCAAAGATTTATTATTAAACCAACAGGGGTCTATGTTCAGTCCATCCATGACACAATCCAACCGAGTAGAATTCTTACCTGTTTGTCAAGGGTCATCAATTTTAACCTTTTGTAACGATCAATATCATCAAGGAATTTGTATAGTCTAGATGCATCATTTCCTCCAACATCCCATTTACTGGTAGCATTCGATGATGGGTCAAAGGTAAGTACAGCTTCGTTTAGACTTAAACAAGTAAGGAATGAAATTGGCATCATTTTACCACGATACTCAAGTGTGGTTATGTTTGGAGAAGTTATGATTGCCTCTTCTAATTTCCGACATCTTCTAATCACTAGCTTCCTCAACTTGTCTCCAGAGACGCGGATGTTCTTTAACATATTGCACCTGCTGAGAACCAACTTCTCAAGCTTAGGAAATTTCACAATTTGATCACGAAACATCTTATCTGTCATTCTGGGATATTCCAATATCAGCTCCTTAAGAGCCCTACATGCTGATAAGTCAATTTTACAGAATATTTTTTTCTTACTGTAATACCAAAAAGTCTCAAGCCAATGAGCCTCAATAACAATACTATCAAGTGGAATACACTTGTGCACATCAACTCGCCTCAGCTTGTCTAGGGAGCAGATAGACAGTTTGTTCGATTCAGAGCATTGTATCTCTATTAACCTTAAGTCCTCAATCATAGGGGAGCCAGAGATCAGATTTTCAAACTGCAGCAGGGAGACTTTCATATTCTTAAATGACAGCTTCTGGAGGTGCGGAAGATTTACTGAATCGGCAGGTATACGACAACCACATAAGCTTAATGCAGTAATGGAACTTCCAATCATGACACACGGAGGCAAAGTGTACCGTGGTACTTGCGGATGCCTTAATTTAGCGTGGACTTCAAGTTCTCTAACATTCCTCGCAATAGCAGAAACAATCCAATCACTTACATCAGAAATCCTTCCATCCCACTTCCATAATGAATAAGGAAAGCACAACCTGAACTTGTGAATACTAAGCAATTGTTCATCATGCAGCCGATTAATCATTTGATCTTTGTATCTTAACTTTATACTTTTCTTCACCTTGTCGAAGCTACACAGGTCAATATCCACAGTATGATATGAATTCCATACTTGCCTCCATCTCTTAGACAGGATGCAAGTTCGAGCAGCATCCTTAGGATGTAGGTGATAAAGAACTTGATGAAGCACATGATCCGGCATGTCAGAAATATAGTCAATTCTACATTTCACTCTCTTTCTTACTCTATTAGCAGAGGCCCTTTGGCTTCTTTTCTTACATTTCTTAGAAGCAATATCCATTGAACCGTTCTTCTATACGAATTTATACATATGTTCCCTAGAAAAGGTCGACAGGATGTTAATCTAAAACCTGCCCACATAGAAGAAATATCGAAATATCCGGCTTAATTCCATTTGTTAATGTCACCAGTTTACATCATTAATTACAGGAAAGTAGGACATAGGAACACAACATGAATTTGAAACATATAATATCATACCATGCACAAACTATTAAATCATGTTATTCAATCTGAGTAATCATCCCAAACACATTATACAGAACTAGTAGGATATATACCAATCAATCAATCAAAGCCTTAATCCCATTACTCCATAAGTGGAGTCGGCTACATGAACCAAAAAATCCGAGCATGAATTGGAATTACCTACACACTAATTACAAAGAAATTCAACATTTACATGAAAACCCACAAGATAAAACAAGAACCCTTACAAACACATTATTCTGTTTCACATTTCTTCCAATTACAGTTTTCTCGAATCAATATTACATAAAATTGACTTCTAATATTCATAAAATTCACCAAATCTAACATATATAAATCATCAACAGCACACAATTATACAACAATTTAAGAAAAAAAAAAGAATAAATCTTCAAATTCAAAAACTGATTGCTCAAATTAAAACTAAAATTGAATTCAAACCTGATAATTGAATTTGAATTAGGGTTAAATCGAATTCTTGACTCCAAAAATCATATCACTCAAAATTTTGGTTTCAATTTGAGGAGAAAGAAAGGCTAAAGTGTGACGCAGTGTTTCTGAAACTCTGTGTCTTTATATATGACCGTCCACAAAAACCCAAAAAAAATAAAATAAAAAAATAAAAATTGCGAGTTTATTTTATTTTTATTTTTCCTTTTTTTAATACATCGGAAAAAGAAAAGAAAAAGAAAAGAAAGACGTCGATAGTTTCCGATCTTTCTCACTCTCTCTCCTCTTTCGATGTTTGATCTCACTCATTTTTTGGTAAATCAACTGGAAATCACAATCACTCGAATTTTCTAGCTCGAATTGCATCAAAAGGTTTGATTTCATCAATTTTATTCGTAATTTTTGAGTTTCAATTTACTATAATTTTGTTATTTTTTGGTAGATTAGGAGTATGAATTTTGATAGACATTTTCAATTTATGCGAGCAATTTTTCATTTTTATAGCTTAAATGTTTATATATGATGCTTAGTTTATGATTTGATATAGTTTTTGTATATGTTAGCTGAAAATTAGTCGATCTGTTGTTCTTAATTTGTTGTTGAATTATGTAATTTGATTGAAATTTGTAGTTTATTGTGTTGATTTTGATTGATAATCAGAAGTATTGATTGATGTAATGTGAACAGATGTCAGTTCCTCGATCTATGGATAAGTCAAGTGCTCTTGAATACATTAATCAGATGTTTCCTACAGGTAATTTATGTTGCTTTTCTTCTATTTACCTAAATTGGTTGATTTATATTAGGAATTTGAAGCTCCGTTGATTCGAGGCGTTGAAGTCGGAGTTTGATACATTTATCAGTGTTATTTTGAAAGGGATTGGTGAAATTGTAGTTCAGTATTTCTTATAATCTTGCATTTGTTTGAATGATTGCTGATTATGTGTTAATATTGGTATATCAGAGGCGTCGTTATCTGGTGTTGAGCCTCTAATGCAAAAGATTCATGGTGAAATCCGTCGAGTGGATGCTTCCATACTGGGAGCTGTTCGACAGCAGGTAAGATTTATTGGTCTTTGCATGATTTGCATTCTACAGTTTTGATGGAAGTATTGATGAATTTTTTGTTTATTTTTACTGGTATGAGTGGTATCTTCACTTTGGTTTCATTTTGTTGGATGGGAAACATTTTCGAGTGAAATGATGAATTTTGATGTGCGTGGTTTGTAAAGGGGTGGGAAGTAGTTGTACAAGTGGAGATATTCCCAAGGGTGGAAATCATTTTTACCTTTTGGTAGGAGTGCATGGCACATTATCCTTTTCATTCCTGGGCAATAATCCTCGTTTCCAAACTCACTCTCAGTAAACATTACTCTCATATTTTGGATTGGATGGTGATGTATAGCTCTTTTTTATTTTATTTTATTTTGTTGTAGAATGAGTTTGTTGTGATTTTGTTACATGAGGTTCTGTTGAGTTCATTTTCGTTTATAGAAGGTTGTGAAGGAGGTTGTGTGTAGGAAGGGTATTATTGTTAATAGTCTTGATGAGAACCATGGGCGTTAAATTTTGGGAAAATAGTGTTCAGACAAGGAGACTGAAGACTGCAAAAGGTTGAAGAGTGTAGGAGGTTGAGTGCATGAAGAGTATTCTTGTTTTTTATTTATTTATTTTTTGTTTTTTATTTTTATTTTGAGGGAAGAGTATTCTTGTTGAAAGGCTTGACGAGAGCCGTTTTGGGAAACTAGTGTTCAGACAAGTTGACTTAAGATTGCCCAAGGTTGGAGAGGGATGGACAATTATTGATATAGAGATAAAGAGAGCAATGCAGCTAGGTAAAAATGAATACCTTTAGATTATAAATTTAATATTCTAGACTAGATGGAATGATGGATTATTGATTTATGAGGTTGATCTTCAGCCACACACAACTGGGTAGATCAAATGATGAACTGCATACAAGTTTAAAAGACTACTATTTGAATTTAAAGAAGTCCATTGCAGGCTTCTTTCTATCAGGCTTGGTGTGGTTTTGTTAAAGTTGGCATATTTTAATATGTTAATTAGTTTAGGGTGCATAATTGATGTGCATGACCTTGTAACAGGCTAGAGTGAAAATGAAGTTATGTGAAAGAAGAGTGGGGGAAGTTTAGACCAAGCAATCAACTTTTAGTAAAATTTTGAATAAATATTTTTCTTATGAAGGGTACATGCCTTGTTGAAGTTCGTAGGATTTATTGCAGGGTTGAAATCTTGGTTGATGTCACAATAATGATTGTGGAACCATTTACAGGCAATGCAAATGGCTTGCGGCCATCGTGCCTAATAATATGTCACAGTATGCTCCAAAATTACCCTTGATTTAACATCGTGATATATTTTAAGATAGAAGACGGTCCTTGCAAAATGAGTTGGAAAAGTGGTTGGGCTACTAGACAGATCCTTCACACATTGGTGTAAGAATTTGATATTGAATATGGCTCATATAGTCATTATTTATGTATATATATTTTTTCATCACAATTTTCCTTTTTAAATCATTTTGGGGGTGCAAAAAATGTTTCTTGTTGTTCCTCATCCTCATCGATGTCAATTATGCTGGTAGCCTGGCATATCTTTGCCCAGTATGCACTTAATGTTTTATTTTATTTAATTTACTTTTTTTTTTGGGTAAAAGTAAATATTCCCTCCGTTTCAAAAAAAAGTGTCGTTTCTTAAATTTCATAGTTTTTAATGCAAATGAAGGAAGTATAAAAAGCATGTATGATTGTGTGAAGAGTATCGGAAATAATTATATAGAGTACAATATTTTGTTTTCTAGTGGAGACAATAATGAGAAAGCATGTGTGAAGGGTATTTAGGGAAGTTTAGTATGTTAAAAAGTATAAAGTGGGGGTATGTAGGTAATTATACATAAAACAAAAATAGAAATAGGCACTTAATTAAGGGATACCCAATAAGGAAAACAGGCACTTAATAATGGGACAGAGGCAGTAAATCCAAAGTGAGACTATAGGAAATGGGGGATGATTGTGGCTGTCAGTTGACTTTTTATAAACTGGAAAAGAAATGGGTTTCTTCAGATGATAAAACTAGGAGATAGGGTGAAAAGCAATAGATTTTGGAATAAGGATATCTTTTAAGATTATTGATGATGAATGAATGCTGGAATCTGGATGGCAATTACTTCCATGTCTTCATGTGTATTTTCTGCTAGCTTGTTCTCTGTCTTGCTTCTTGATGGGATGTTATGCTCTGGCATGGGTTAAATTGTTTTCAGTCTTGATGATTATATTTCTACCAGAAACATTCTCCCATTCCTCCTTCAAATTATCACTAAAACATTATTTTTGACATGGTAGTTTGACTCTATGAAAAAGCATAAAAAAAAAAGGAAAATGCTACACATAGCCCTTAGGGCTACTTATAAGCATTAAAAATACTCTTGAAAACTGTTTAAATTTAGAAAATCATGACAAATTCACACTAATTACACTGATCTACGAGTGTTTTTGTCATGAATTCCTAATTTTATACAATTTCCAAGAGTGTTTTTAATGCTTATATATAGCCCTAAGGGCTATGTACAGCATTACCCAAAAAAAATTAGATGTGGAATTTATTGATATGGGCTTTTCCAGAAGGCATTTGGTGAGATAGTGACTGGTGCAAAACTGCAGTAAGATTAAGGGTTTCATGAGGTGAAGTGAAAAAACCTAAGAAGAAGTATTGAGCTGATGTAAGCAGGCTAGACTTTGCTCATATACAACTCATGAGGAAATGACCTTAATCTGAAACCAAAGAACTCAAGAATTTATGTGCCGTTTCTCAAGTAGGGTGCCTTTTTTAGTTCTTGAACAGTTGAACCTATGTATTTTGGAATCTTGTGTTTACCTTTCGAGATTTAAATTGTGGCCTTCTTATTATAGACCTGATTTCCCTCTTTATGCAGCCTCTTTCTATTTTTGGTTGTTGGTTTCAGCAAAGCTTGATTATAATTTCTGTACTAGTAGTGTTCTAGTGTTTGAATTGTGTTTTGGAAACTGTTACCTGGAGAGGAGTATTAATGGCATGGTCCTGGACCAAGGTTCTCTTCCCTCACAATATGGGGGTTACTAAGTTATCAGGAGGATACTAATTATTGTGAGAGGTGGGAGCACTGGTTCAGGACCATGAAATAAGCTGTTACAACTTTTCTACTAGCATCGAATCTTCCACTCACTAGGGTGAAGCTGTGTGTTTTTGAACTCTTAATTTTTGATTGCTAACTTCCTGTAGTTTAGAGTAATTCAGGTACCAAGGCCAAAGAAGATCTTGCTGCTGCTACGCGTGCAGTGCAGGTTTGTGCTCCCAATATGGACTCATATTACTTGACTTTTTACTTGATATATAATGACTGATTGGCTCTAATTCTCTTCTGGATGATTATCCGGAATTGATTGTATCCTATATTCTGTTCCACTAATTGATTGTTCTGATTGGATTAATTGATTGATCAATTTTTCAACAGGAACTCATGTACAAGATACGGGAGATAAAAAATAAGGCTGAGCAAAGTGAGACAATGGTTCAGGAAATTTGTCGTGACATAAAGAAGCTCGATTTTGCAAAGAAGCACATAACAACTACTATTACTGCACTTCATCGTCTTACCATGTTAGGTTGGTTTTTTGTTTCCTTTTTATTTTCATTGATCTTAGCGTCTCACACATTCAGCATCCAGGACCATTAACTATCTGGTCTTTGCTCTTGGGAAAAATAAAAAACAGATTTATTGCTTTCTTTTTATATTGTTTTTTTTGTCCAATTGAAGATCATACAAAGACAATGTACCACCACAAGAAAAATTCATGAAAAGTATTTTCCACCTTCACACTAATCCAAAGAATCAAATTTAAAACTATAATGATTGTATAATATGTCAAAGATCAAGAGCCTGCCATGATACTATCAATCACATATCATATAATTCTAACTTTCATTAGTTTTATGTTATGTTGAGATGATTTACTAGTTTTATATCTGTTAGCTGCTACTCTTTGAAATGCAGGATTCATGTTTTATTAATCTTTATGTTTTCCATTGTTGTCGTAATACATGAACAATATAATGAA